TCGACGGAATATCAAGACCAAGCGGCCATGTGACAAATTGGACTATCGGAGATTAGGGCCATTTGTTATCGGGAAGCAGATCAATCCGGTGGCATATCGTCTGGAGTTACCAGCTACTATGAAAGTACATCCAGTCTTTCATGTGTCTTTGTTGGAACCTTATCGAGAGTCAGTTTTTCCCCAAAGAGTACAAAGTCCGCCACCAAGTATCGAAATTGAAAACCATGAGGAATACGAGGTGGAAAAGGTACTAGATTCACGGCGTAATAGGAGAAAATTGGAGTATTTAGTGCATTGGAGTGGATACGACATCAATGAATGAACGTGGGAGCGTGCCGAAAATCTTGCCAATGTACCAAAAAAGGTACAAGAATTTCATCAACGATATCCTCATAAACCTAAGCCGATTCAACGATAGCTTCTTGCTGAAGCTTGCTCATCAAGTAACATAAAAAGGGGGGAGGGCACCTCCAAAACCCATAGTTCGATAGTGTAGAACTTTGTTAGCAACTATAGTTTGCTCTCATCATTTTAGCCTTTGGACATGGATAGTCAAGATACTACACTTGTTATGTCATCTCAAGCGACTAGCTCACGAAGACGATCGCGAGATGAAGAACCGCCTGCACCACGACGACGTCGAAGGATACCGAGCAACAGATCGCTAGTAATTGTATTTGAGGTCGAGCCTGCCTACGACGGTCAGCCAGAAGGTGTGTTTGGAGGACAGTTTCACAATGAAGACACAGAAGTCCACGCTTGGTCAGAGGTTGAAGGTGTTGGTCACTACCGTTGGCTCGAAGGGCCGATGAATCATTTGCCTCGCGAACAACAATTGGAATTCATAGTAGATGTGATGCGACAGATTTTCATTTTCTTGCGTTGGTATTGACTGATAACAACATTGCTTCTCGGAGACCTCGAAGTTAGAAGAGGAAGTGATGTCATGGACATACATTGGAAGATTCTTCGAATATTCTTTTAGAATATTCTCTAAAGATTCTCTAAAGATTCTTTTAGAAGGTTCTAGAAGATTCTTAGAATATTCCCTAAAGATTCTCTTAGAAGGTTCTAGAATATTCTGATAGATTCTAGGAAGTTGCTCGAGAAGTTTCCTAATTAGTAGAAGTTGTTGGAGAAGCGTCCTAGTTAGCGGAAGTAGCTCGAGAAGCTTCTTATTCAGTAGTATATATAGGAGTCGAGGCTGAAGGGTTCTTCAGTCTCGACAACACATCTCTTGGAGTTTTAGCTCACCTTTCTGGTGTTGTACTTGTACTCATCTGTTTAATCTAGTTCTGCCACTTCTTCTTGAACTTCTTGTTAGATTTCAAGTCTGTATTTTGTGTCCGTGACAATGGATTGCCAAATAATATTATGTTACATAAGAGGACTCGATTTGTATTAAGATTATGAAGAATCTTTTTTAAGATTCTAAAAATAGATATAAAACTATCTTTGACCTTTTATCTTTAATTTAATAGGTAAATGGAAGGGGTGAATCAAGTTTTGGAGCAATATTTGAGATATACCATTAATTATCATCAAGATGATTAAACAATCTTTTTGCTATTGGAAAAATTTGTATATAATAATTTGATACATTTTTCTATTCAACAAATACCTTTTTTTTTTTACCAATTATGGTTATCATTCATGATTTAATATTTTCCACTTTTCAAAAGTTGATAATCTTATGACAAAAGATTTGACAAATTATTTGTCAAAGTTACACTCAATAATATAGGCACAGTTAAAAGAAGCCCAAGAATAACAAAAGATTAACACAAATGCCTATTGCAAAAAATAACCACAATTCAAAGTGGATGACAAGGTATGATTACTTTGTCGCAATATCAAGACTACTCGTCTTTGTGACAAATTGGACTATTATAGGCTTTGACTTTTTTTTTTATTTGTAAACAAGTCAATCATGTTAATTATTGATTACATCTATAAGAATCAATAAAGATTCATCTCATATTTCATATATCTTTTTTTAAGCCATATAAAATAATAAATATTTAAAAAAGAAGACAAATGTAACCTCTTTTAATTGAAATGGATAATAATTAAGATGTTGAGGTAGAAGAAGTTTTAGATTCAAGGTGACGCCAAAATAGATTAAAATATCTTGTTCATTGGCATGGATATGATATTAGTAAATGCACATGAGAGCCAACAAAGAATCTTGCAAATGTACTAAAGAGAATTGAGGCTTTTCATTGACGACATCCATCAAAATTAAGATGAAGAATAGCAAGATCCTTGAAAGATGATGGCTGCTCCTTGTCAAACTTATCTCTAGAAGGGAGGTGATATCATGAATATATGTATTTATTCTAATAATTACTTATATGATTAAGTAGAAGTAAATAAATATACATTAATTTTTTAATATCTTCTAAAAAAGCTTCTTAGAAGCTTCATAGATATGGTTGTGATTTTACATGAGTTTGTAGTTGATTGATAGATTAGAGACTTGGTCAACAAGTTAACCACATACTACACCTATTGATAGCTTTTGAAACAATCCAAATATATGAGACACATATAAAAAACTTGCGTTACAAGTTTAGACATATGCTTAATAAAGTCAATACATGTTGAAGGTCCTATAGAACATTACCACATAGCTCTTAGTTGGATACTATATATAGAGTTCATATATTTTTTTATTTCTAAATTACTATTGTTACAAAGATTGAATCTTAGAAGTATCATAGATCTTTCTAAGATTTAGGAGGATTAATTTGATATGCTCTAAAATAAAGTACAAAAAATAAAAAATAGAAATTTGTAGATAAGGGATTTGAAATTTAGATTTATGATTTTGAACTTACAAGTTGAAAACCTAGGAATTAAATACAATTAAATTAAGAATGCGTCATGTATCTTTTTTGGTTTACACCTAAACAATACATGACGGATTACACAAGTTTTCTAAAGAATTGATACATTAAAGTCCAAAACAAGAAAAACTTGTTTTGTGTCCTCACAAATAACAATAGTTTCAGCTACATGTTTAAAAATAGGTTCGCTTTACATTGTGGTGGATTAGCTTGCAATGCTCGGAACAATCATGAATGAAGTTCTGTCTCTTGAGATCGCCGAAAAGCAGAAAATTTCTGTCTATATTTAGGCACCAGTTGACGAGGCACGGCTGGAATACTTACCAGATCCTGAGAATGTTGATTGTCTTTTTTTTTAACGATCTCTGACCTGTGCAATGTAGACCCCTTGTATCAGTATTCTCTTAACTGGTACTTTTTATTCTTCCTAACATTTCTTCGTATTTAACCTTATTGTTACAGTCTCCTTTCAATATACAAGTAGTAACTACCTAAGTTTTAGTCTTGTCCACTGATTTTACTTGAATTACTCTAGAATCTTCAATTGAACAATAAGCAATGGATATGGATGTTTGTCATGTCATCGTCACCTTGCCCAGGTACTTGCAACTTTTCGTGAAGTCTGTGGGACTCACAGATGAGAAAGATAAGATGCTTCTGTCTTTTCTTATTATCTGCACTCTTCGGAAACGCTTTGAGAAAATAGAACCAGAGGATTGTATATTCTTTGCTACAGGTGGAGTATCGACTGGGAGTGAGCTGCCTCCCAACCCAACTAACTGGTTTTCTGATAATCTTTGGATTGAGATGCTAAACATTTCCAATTTGAAAAACTTTCATGTAAGGGTATTCTGGAATTCCTCAAGCATCTCCTTGGGAGATATTTTCCATGCCTAAAGTTTTCAGAACTTCTTGTACAGCAGCTGTACACAGGTTATGCTATCAAATCCCTCATGTATTGTTTAGGTGTAAACCAAAAAAGATTTTCATGAAATTGTTTAGCTTAGTTTCCTTAATAAATTATTGTTAGCATGCGCTAGAAAATTGGCTTATAGATGCTATTGTATTCCAGAATCACATGGATGCACATGAAGGAAACATTCCAAGTATGAATCAGAAAATGCTCTATTTATGCTCCTGCTGGCATACAGTGATGACTTCGCCGCTGACCCTCATCAGTGGAAGCCTATTTTTGATAGCGATCAGCCTTATCTGCAACCGATTCCATACGATTGGAGTGTAAAACTTAATATTTTCCAGAAACTTGTACTAATGCGGATGCTCCAACCTGATCAAAATAGTGGATCGTGTGAATGATTTTGTATTTCAAGGCATGGGCATCCATTTCATGGAGCCTCCAACATTTGGCTTGGATAGTGCCTTTTGTGACCCAAGCTGCACCATCTCCCTCGTGTTCAATTTTTTCCGCTGGGTCGGATCCTATGGCTGCTCTACTCAAATATGCTGAAGAAAGTTAGCACAAAGTAAGTATACAGAACAATTTCTCTGTCTACTATTAAGCTGTCATTGCCTGTCATAATAGAGAAACACTCTGAGAATCGTTGGTCTCTTAGATGTTTCTTTGGTTGTGGAAGAAGTTGGTGTCTCCACATTGGCCATTGCCTCTGCTAGAGTAGTGACTATGATCAGCTCTTCTATGTTGCAAAAGTTGATGGTAAAGAAACATTTCACCTACGAAAAGCTTTGTCGAAAAGGGAAAGGAGCACCCAAATGATTTTTTGAACAAGATGTTTTGTTCAAATATCACGACGACAACCAGAAACACTACATTATCATTTCAAATTAATTTAGAGATGAATCTACCACCTAATTCGTCGGTAGCATCATGGCGAGTAGCAGAACACAACCATGCATGAATTTGGATCAAAAGTCACCTCCCTAAAACTTACCAAGAGCATTAAATTCCAAGAATTCATCACGCTGAATTCAGCAATGTAAACTACATAAATCACAAGACATACAGGCGAAGAATCCCTCACGACACTAGCTGGTTGACTTCAATTTTTTCATACATAGAGATAAATCAAATTCTAAGCGAGAAACCACCAGGTTGCGCAACGACGCAGGAAAAGGACCAAACCCTAAATGAGAAGGCAAAGTTCTGATTCCGTGAAGTCTATAGACAGAGGGTGTCGGTGGTTTTTAAGGATATTTTTACTGGCCTCTGAACTCACCGTTGAATCTAGCTCTTCTAATTTTGGCTATTACAGGTTCTGGAATTTATAGAATCTGGGAAAGCGTCCCCCTCAATCTAAAGCTAACCAGTACTCGTACATGGTCTATATGGGCAATTCAGCCACCGTCAAGGTTGTGTAAAACTAATTCTGATGGAATGAGGGATTTTTTCTCCCAAGTGATGCCTCCACGCATTGGAATGTAGAAGTCTTTCTTGCCCATATCAGACATGCGGTTTTGTGGGCTTGAAAATTGTAGTGAAAGCCTGGATTAACCCCACTACCGAGCTTCTATAGATAATGCGACAGGAGCTGCTTATAAAGTTGTTTGAAATTTCGTAGGAATTGGTGATGGTGATGAATTGTCACCTACCCAGTACAATCTTCATAGTAGTAGGACAATTTGGGTGCATTGGGCAATCTTCATAGATGATGCAATTGCACTTACAACAACGATCTCTGCATCTGCGATTTTTCCTACGCTCTGTGTGACTCGTCTGCAAATTGTCACACCAGTGTTATCAAAACTTTCAAGTCTGGTATCCGCAGATAAACTCATGCTACTTACGAGCAGTTTTTCTTGAAACAACTCACATGTGGCGAATTCGTGGTTGGTGTGAGTTACGATTGTATCGGGGCTTAGGTTGAGGAAACAGAGTAGGGTGTAGGCTTTAACGGAAGCTGTAAGGAAGTGCCACGAGCTTTTCTAGGCTATTTGCAATCACTTGATGGGAGCTGGAGATTATTTTGAGAATTCGGTGCAGATCTAGACCTTTATAACCTTGATTTCAGAAGTTTGGTTCGGCGGTGGCATTCTAGTGCCTCATTCTGCATTCATTCATCTGTGTCATTCTCGAAGACAGTGTGCGCTTGAAGGTGGTCGTGAAGGGGTTGCACAAATCTAGCCAAGAGTTGAAATGCATGGTTTGGGTTTAGGGTTTTAATTTTTGGATTTCAGTTTTTGGAGTTTGAGGATTGCTTTCTGGGTACCGTTTTAGCAAGAGACGCGATGCGAGGACTCTATATAGTTGGGGCTTTACATTCACTAAATGTTTCACTTTGTACGAAGTTCAGTTCTCGGGCTGTACAGACACAACCTCGAATTGTCACGTTGAGGGACTGCAAATGCAGCTGGTCACCGGGAGCAAATGAATTCTCCTTTCCAAATGCTCAATCTGATAAGGTAAGGTTTCGGGATCGCATCTCTGCGCCTCGCGACCTAAGTTCTCAAAGACTTACATCCGGGAATCTCTTGTTCAGTAGGCAGTCGTGTATAGATTTTAGGTTTGTGGCCAAGAGGAAAATTTTCGCATGCGGGAGCCGAGATTTCACGGGCATAGGGCGTAAGAAGGCGGTTGCAAAGACTAAAACACACTGGGTGTGTGAGGATTGTGGAGAGTCATATACACAATGGTGGGGTCAATGTAGAAATTGTAAAGCAATGAACTCGATGAAGGAGTTTAAGGAGCATACAGGTAATGCTGGTAAGAGAGGGGGAGCTGGAGCAAGGGCAGTGGAAAATCTAGTACTGTCTCAAGCTAATGGAACTGTGAAAAAATCCCCACGAGCAGGTGGGAGGGCCTGGCTTGAGAGTGTCGGTGGTGGCCCTCAGCGCTTGTCCGATGTGGCCGCAGGTCATTCACAGCTACATTGGCGTCTACCTTTGTACGAATCGGAGTCCATTCTTCTCCTTTGCGAAATGTTGTATACGATCGTTTTTTTAGAAATCGAGTTATGAGTTTTACATTATTGAAGAGGAAGTGGTCACCTATCTGTTTTGCAAATCTGGCAGGCAGGGAGATACTGGACAGGAGATTGGAAGAGTATTGGGCGGAGGCCTTGTGCCAGGTCCCAATCAAACTTATCTCATCTCTCGTGTCTACAGTTATTAAATGAATTGAAACTAGAGTTTTGTTCTAGGGTACAGAAACAGGTTGTAGACGCTATGGATGTGACTTGGTATCCGGGTGGTTTTTCAGGGTCATTGATTCTCGTAGGTGGGGATCCTGGTGTCGGCAAAAGCACTCTACTACTACAGGTGGTCTTAGTCTCCGTTTCCTTGTGTGAAATCGAATTCCTTCAACTTGTTGAATTGGCCGTTTTTTTTGCATGTGCCTCTTTTAAGATGATCTGCTTGACAAGATGATTGGAAGACATTCTGACTTTTATAACGACTCATATAAGATCATTACTAATTGCTAGATTAAATGGTCAGGTAGCTGGCCTTATTGCAAAGGGCACTGACGAGCAAGGTCCTGGTCCTGTTCTGTATGTTTCAGGAGAAGAGGTGAGTCGATTCCTTTTTAGGAAGAATATTGAATACTCTTGTTGCTGTTCGTTGTACATCTATTTCGACTATTTTTGCTTAGAATTTCACAATGAATGGATGTGACGTAAGAATATTCTACATTTGTTGCTTCTTGATTATCTCTTGCACTGTATGGGTGGGCAACAGAGTGTGGAGCAAATAAGTAACCGAGCTGACCGATTGAATATAACAGCGCATGAGCTTTTCCTGTATTCAGCAACCGATCTAGAGGTTCACTTTGTTTACCACTCAGATTTGTCTAATAGCTGTTCACATCACCTTGTGTAAACAGCCTTGAAATTTAGCATGCCCGACAGTTATTCTATTCGCAAGATTTATCATGGCGATGAACAAGTCCAACAAAGGAACATTTAGTGGGAACGGGAGCGATTCCTGATGTCTTTAACGAGCGAATCCATTTTATCTGTTACTGTTTACAACTATTTGATTTCTTCAATTTTACTTTTCATGTGTAAGCATTTGAAGAAGAATGCGGTATGGAACTTATAATGCTTATAATGTGCAGCTGGTGATAGGTTCAATAACAGAGATTCAGCCCCGGGCTGTCATTGTGGACTCGATACAAACTGTTTATCTTGCAGAAGCTAATGGCAGTGCTGGAAGTGTCAGCCAGGTTAGTCATCAGCTCTTCTTCACCTTTGAGGAAGTAACCTACTGGTACTATTGTAACTTCATCTTCCTTTACTGCTGAGTGCATCTTGGTAGGGACAAGTGATATTCATTTCAGAATGAGTTTCAGAAAAGTAGCTAATCCTATTCGGTTTTTGAAGATCAAAAAAAACGAACCACCAGTGTTTTGGGCCGTTCGTGTACACGTCCTTGCGATCGAAATGTTATGTGCGTTTCGTCATCACTTCATGTTATCGTATCTTATAGACTTGCTGTGACCTAAACTTGTATACTGAATAAAAGAGCAGGTACGTGAATGCGCCACTGCACTATTGAGAGCTGCGAAAGAAACCAAAATTCCCATTTTTTTGGTAGGCTCCTATTTCCACTGGATAAATTGAAGTCCAACGTACTCGTTTTTTTCAGTGGCTGCTCACATGACAATTTCATAGTTGCTATTTGGCTCTTAACAGAAATAAAGTCATCCAGTCCGGCACAAATTTTGTTTGCAGCTCTATGGTGTGAATTAACATGTAGGCATGAATATTTGCATTTTTAACCGCTATCCGAATTTTGTCGGGTATTTGTGTGCAGGTGGGGCATGTTACCAAAGGCGGTGATATTGCAGGACCTAAAATATTAGAGCATGTGGTCGATGTTGTGCTTTATATGGAGGTTTGTTATTTTAATTTCCATATGGAACTTGTTTTGTAGATTATACACTGCAAGTTTTGACACAGAATCAAGCTGACTGTTGAAAATGTTTTAAGCTACCTGTCACCTCATCGCCTACTACAGTAGAATAATTTTCCTCCCAGTGAACTCCTCTGTCACTTGCTCATTCATCTTGTTGAGTTCAATCGGCAGTTTGTTCATCAATGTGTCATTTCTTTTTCTTTTTTCAATGGCGTTTTACTCTACGATGTGTTCAACTCAAGACTAACAGCATGTATATGTCATTAGAGCATCCAGGGTTCATGCGATCACCTTGCTACTAAACTCAACAAAATTTAATTATGTAGGGTGAGCGATTACAATCACACCGGCTTCTACGAGTTGTCAAGAACCGTTACGGCTCTACTGACGAGGTAACTACAATATCTCGTCATCCTTTTTCATTGAGATCCCTTGACCTATTATTGAGGTAATTTTCTTTCTCTTTCTGTGGAAATTCAGCTGGTGACATGACTGACATTTTAGGTGGGAGTCTTCGAGATGGTACAAGAAGGGCTAGCAGCCGTTGCATCTCCTAGTGAACTTTTCCTCAGTGCCCGCAACGAGAATCTTACAAATGCAGCTTCTGCTGCCGTGGCTGTAACCATGGAGGGCTCTCGTCCCATTCTCCTTGAAGTTCAGGTGCTTTTATTTTCGAATCTTCTTCCATTCTACCTTCAAAAGAGGTCCTTTCACACCTGTATTTCGTGTTGTAGGATTACTTTTTGTAAATGAATTCGACCTGACACACATGATACACCTCTAGTAGACCTTATTTTATTCTAATAGGATAGAGTAGCTTCTTTAACGAATCAGATGTACATGACACAAGCTTGATAACTTATACAGAATTGGGTCTTTGACTTGCTTCATATAAGGCTTCCAAACAGGTCTGATGTTTTCTTCTGTGATGCGAGTAGGCCCTTACTTCATCAGTTGGACAGCAACCAGGAAGACGAACCGCAAATGGTGTTGATGCTCAGCGTCTATCTCTCCTCCTTGCAGTAAGTTTTTCCCTGTTATTTGTGTTCTGTTCATGAAACTTACTGTGAGAACAGGAATTTGTTGTAATTTGTTCTTATTATCCTAGTTTTTGCCTATTTTAAGCTCAGATATGACATCATACAGGTACTCGTTAAGCAAGCAAGTTTGAGGCTCTCAAATCAGGTGAGTTTATGTCACTGCGGGATGTGCTGCAGCTTGAATATGTACTCGACACTAACCACGTTTACTACTTTCCAACTCACATTGTGGTTCTATTATATGCAAATAATTTTCCATCACTACCAAGGTAGCATTATCGAGCTCTGAGATCATTGATGCAAGCTGACTTAGAAAAGCTCATATGTCATTATGTGTACTTGTAGGATGTTTTCATAAATGTGGTCGGTGGATTGCAATTGCGAGAGCCAGCAGCCGATGTTGCAATTGCTGTGGCAATTTGCAGCAGGTCTGTTTCCTTTCTTAACTATTGTTTCAACTACCCATCTTAAGTGCAAAAGGTTGAAAGGATTTTTGTTAGTACGTTGATCAGAAATTAATCACCATATGTTTCCAAATTCCACTAGCCATGCTTCTGCTTACGCTTTTTATTAACCTTTAGTTTTCCGTCCAATGATTCCCTGTCTTTTAAGTCAGAGTATTCCCTGCCATTATTTAGTCAAGTTACCACATTGCCACAAGCTACGCTGAATCATTGTTGCAGCTACTTTGAGAAAGCTGTGGATCGAGAGATGGCTTTTATTGGGGAAATTGGCTTGGGTGGTGAACTTCGATCGGTAAAGACTTGCTCGTCAACATTGTTTTCATTTCCTTTTTGGTATTTGACAATAATCTATTGTTCGAAGCTTAGTTACGTCTGATCTTGTGTAGCGTCCTCTATCCCCTGTTCAGGTTGGACAAATGGAAAGACGGTTGCTGGAGGCAGCAAAATTGGGGTTCAAAAAATGTGTGGTACCAAGGTCTGCTGCTAAAACCCTTAAAGGGTTAGCTGGAGCTGCCTTCGTCACCATACCGTGCGCGGACATCAAGGAAGTAATAGAGAAGCTTTTCCTTAGAAACTAAACGCATCAATTTTTCCCATATCATTATTTGACCTTTACGATTGCACTGAAAACAATTTACTTCAACATGGAGATTTGAACGGTGTGATAATTGGTTGAAAACAAGGTCTCTCGGAGGCCCGAAATATTTTGCAATGCATACAATACATAATAGAAAAGTACATAGGGTGATTACATGGTTTCGCGAAAAGACACTACGTCTGTCTAAAATACGTTCACTTGCAGAATTACAAATATGGTAAAACTTTCTATTATTAGATGTTTATATACCTCTCATTGTTGACACCTGCCGTAAAAACATTTTCTAGAATTAGACTTAATCCACTTTCACTTGAAATACGATTTTTATGAGCACGCCTCCCCTGATCAGCTCCCTTTTTGTGTTGTGAATAATGGGGTGACTACCTAATAACCCCACAATCACAATTCAATTATGTGATTAGACCTGTGAGATTTGATATGGCAAGCCTAGTGAAGATTAAAACGTTCAACGACAGTATTCTCCACCACATAATACTACACAGTGCGAAAATATTAGGCACTGCCATCATCCAGTTCTGAGTGAAAGATAAAGCTGGGAAATGTGGTGGTAATATCCCTGCCAACAACACAAGCAAATTATTACAGGATAATATCCAACCAACGCAAGCATGATTTGCTTGTCCATTTACAAAGCAAACGCCTAAGAAAATGACATACAATGCCCAGTAATGTGGTATTGAGTAAGAGAGTATACTTGAGATAAGGCAATGTCATGTTTTTCATCAAAGAAGGATGCCGTAACACAAGGCTTTTCCACTCATCCAAGTCAATTCGTCCATCGTGCTTGGTATCAGCCTCTACAAAAGTCTGCCGAATGAGAATTAATGAACAGCAGGAAGGATAATATGATGAACCTAGAATGCAGCGTCCTTGAGATTAATTCTTTGTAATTGACAAATCAAAAATGCACAATCCAATGAACACTCTACCTTGTCCAGAATGCTCTCGATCACCTCGTCAGATAATTTCATATCAGACTCCGACAGCAAGGCTACGACCATTTGCTTCACCTGCCGATGCAAAGACAACACCATTACAGAGCCACGTTAAAAGACTTCAAAAAAAGTGGAAAACAAACTCTTCACAAAATAAACTCCCAAAAGAGATTCAACAAATTACACTACAATACCTCTTCACGCTCAATATATCCCGTTTGTCGCAAATCGTAGAGCCTAAATGCAACTGCACCAACCCCAAAGGAGTTGACATTGTGAGAACCAAAAATGATTCCAATAGATTCCTCTTCTAAGCATAAGTAAAACTGGCAACGAAAATTTAGGGTTAAAAACATGACTCGAGAACAAGCGCTAACAACTCAAAAGACGTCACAGACCCTCCCGAAATTGTGAAAAGGGAAAGAGACTTACAAACAATTTTGTCTTCCAAGGGTGCATTTGGGTGAAATACACTGAGAGAGCGGACAAATTCACTAAAGTCGATCACCCCATTCTGCTTCAAATCGAACAAATCAAAAACCTAGAGAAACAAGTATGTTAGAATAGAAACGGATCGGAGAGACTTTTGACTGACTTCACAAACTAGGGAAAATGCTGCGTCTAACGCGTAGTAAGAGCGTGGTTTGATTGATAAAAATAATAATAATAATATGATGATTGTTATTAATAATAGTAGTAAAAGTAATCTTTCCAACATAACATGTGGCCTTACAGAAATCAAGATCAGTTCAGCCAGTAAATTATGACTCTGGGTTTTGGTGATTACCCTATCTGCAAAGAGATTCTCTCTTTTCCTGTTCTTGAAGAGGGCAAGCTGGAACTCTTCCTGTACAGGATCAAGGGAATCGCAAGAATCAGGTCAAATCCTTATCAGCCTTCGTAACTCAATATGAAAGAACCACAATATCTTTGTATCACAAATTGAAGCATGAGCACCGGCTCACGATATTCATATTTCATCCTACAATTGCACCTTGAGCTCTAACTCAAAGTCAGTTTAACCCTGACAAGCCAACGCTCTTTGCAACTACACCCCAATCTTCAACACATTCATTTTGAATTGGAGGAGAATCGCATGAATTAAAACCTTGTGAATGAGCCCGTCGTTGACTACTGAGCTGCTAATTTTCTTGAACAGCTCATACAACGCCTCTACTTCGCTCACACTAACTGTCCACACAGACAACACATCATTTCAACGGTCGTGCACCTCAGATACGCCGTACTTCCATGAATACACATCTAAGCGCTGATTGATTTTATATACAGAGACAATACCATTCCCTCTTTTAATGGCGAATTTAAATGCACGATTCTCCTGCTGATCTCCCCATAATCAAACCTCACTTCAAAGCATACGGCTCAGTATGCCTGAAATGTCATCTGAAAACACGTCAGAGGTCGAGATACCACTCACAAGTTGTCTCGCTTGCAAGAATACTAGGATCCTCATAACCCGGCGGCACTTTATTCTTCTTGGAGTGGAAACAGCCCATGGTGCAATCAAATGCAGGTCCAACCTCTCTGAAGGAATGCCTTCTACAACGACGAATGCAAACAATCCACGACTGTCAGCCAAGTCCCTGAACCCTTCCTGACTACCTCCTGCCTGAAACACACCTTTCTCTTCAGTACAAACCTCCCCGCACAATCCTCTTCTCCCTAGCCATGCCAACTTCCAATCCCACTTCCAGAACCCCAAGCGCTTCCACCCTCTCTCCGCAACAGCGGATCATACCCGTCCCTCTCATAATGCATCACATAAAAAAGGAAAAACCCAAGTGACAGCCCAATTGCCGTGGAATAAAAAATCAATAAAAGTCCCGAAAAGGCACCGAATGCTTCAGCCCTGGAACAGTACCCGTAATTCTACGACAACGAACCGCCTGCAATTTAAGGAGCCCCGCAACGACCCCTCCCTCCCTCCCTCCCTCTTGATGCTACTATCAGCGACTGAGAACACTTGAAACTTCTTCGCCGAATTCTACACCCTCCTCCGATTCACCTCCCACAGGCCCCATTGAATCCTCAGTGTGCTAGTTCGGTCGAGCACACTTCCCTTCCCGCCTGCGTTTCAAGGACCCACTTACGAAATGCGAGAGCGAATTCGAAAGACCGACTAAACCAACCCTGCACCAGATTTCCGACGAGTTAATGAGCTCGCGGCGTCGGCCCCGCGCGTCGTGACGTTGGTTGATAAGCGGATGGCAACAACAACCCGTATCCGTCGTGGCGTCATCCACAGAGTATCCAAACAGATGCTCGAGTCTGCAACAGGTCATCTGCATCGGTCTTCGTCGTTGTCGTCGTCACCACCAGCATTACAGTCCCGGGGCGCATCGGAGCGGGGCGGAGCAACTATCACCTGGTGGACCAATTCATCAAGACCATTTTTGTCGATAGAGAAATGTTGCAACAACGATCGACGCCACTACCCCACCTCCCCACCTCTCCTCGCCCAGGCAGTCAGTTAGGAGTTTGCACCACCACCACCACGAACAACAAAACAACAATAAACAACAACCAAACGGAGGAGGAGAAGTCAGTGAGCTCGTTCCACACTACTACTACATTGTCCCTCCTCCTCGCTTTCTCCCGACCCTCCATTGTTTCTTTCTTTACATTCGAGTTTTATTTTATTTTATTCTCTCGTTTCTCTTTTTTTCTCCTTCTGCAACTGTTACGTGTGAGTTGACTACATCTTCTTCGCCGCCATTTGCGCCGACACCGATTGCGCAATGGGGTCTTGATAACTCCTCCTCCTCCTTTGCTTTGCTTCGTCCACTTCTTCAAAATCTTCTTCGTCTCTACTCGGATCGGGGGAGAGCTTCGCCGGGGTTCGAAATGACGAATGCATCTCTCGACGCCCCCATCGCGAAGTGGGTTACCACCACTTGTTCACAGCGGGGCCTATCGTTTTCGAGGCGTCGGATCGGATTCGAACTCTCGTCACTTCGTTACCAGGGGGTGTGTGTCGAATTTTTTTGGGAAAATATTGACTGGATTGGAAATAGACGCTCTGTGTGAAGTGATGCACTATGTCGTTTTAGGCTTTCATCAACTATTTATTTATTTACTTATTTATTTATCTTATAGAAAAAGATATGCAAATGGGTAAAATAAATGATTTTTAAGAAATCGTTTAGATGAACGGAATTTAGATTCAACATACTATACATCTTACAATGTGCATTAAATTTAAAAAAGAAGTATAAATCCAAAATTTATATAAGTATAACAATTTCAGTTTTTTTATTAATTAGACATACTCATCTTTTATTCTATGTTTCCCTGAATCATTGGAACGATCAAATTTTAATTCAAAAAATTGAATATAAATCCTTTTAGATTTAAAAATGAAATTTATTTTGATTATTTAAGTATTAAAAATCAAAAAAAATATTTATTTCATTTAAATACATTGATGTTAGAACAATACTTTAAAAAATATCCAAAGTTACTAACATTGGATAGTCTAAAAACCTAAAAGTATTACATTTTTAAGCTTAATTTTTTTTAAATTAAATGTAATCTCAAAAAAAAGATATATGCATGGTATTAATATAAATTAAATACAATCAAATATTACTCTTAATTATTCATTTATAAACATATAATTGAATTACAAATAAAATTTTGTCATATATATATATTTTAAATGATAATATATTTTTAATTTTAAATACATAATCTTATATAATTTTAAGTATTTAGATATTTTATATTAGAATTATCTAACAAAGAAAAAAAATACAAACTCACATTGTCAACAATTGTTTTTTTCACAATTATACTACTTATTTGCATTCTATGAAAAATGACTTTAATTGGAACCAAAAATAATATTGGATTGTAGCATAAAATAATTACTTACAATAGTGATATAAAAAGAAATAATAACAATAAATTTTGAAACTAAGAATCATTTTTGTACTTTTTTTAATCATGAAATAAAATTTTAAAATTATTTAAAGTAAAACTAATACTTTATACTAACAAAAGAATTAAATAAATTTTTTGTGTTTTAATTTGTTGTTAGAATTTTAAAATTTATGTATATAAAATAAATATAAATTAAGCTTCAATTCAATTTTAATATTTTAAAAATTAATATTTTTATATATTTTTTAATTTTTAATTTTTGATTTTTTGATTAATTTTATTTTGTGTTAATATTTAAAGATCAAAATTAGATTTTTTTACTTATATATCATTATATATGCAATTTAATACACAATTCATATACCTTATATATAAAAAATATTAGAAATCATATATCTTTTAATATATATAATATATATTTTTTAAAATAAAATTATTTTAAAAATAATCTTTCCTATATTATCTATTATATTAGGTATTAAGTTATTTATGACATGGAGATTTGACATTGTTGGTGTCAAGGACAAGAACTCGATGAAAGCTAAAGAGTAAGTGAGACTTTTCTCAAAGAAATAGGACAAAATAGAAATATGTATATTAAGAAAGAAATTAGAATGGCTATTGCCAAAATACAAGAAAACTAGAGACCCTTGAAACTAGACTAGAAGCAAGAAAGGAGTTGACAAGAGTGAAGAGGGCTTCACTCTTGCCTCTATATATACTATCTAACTAGAAGCCATGTGGCGATGTTCTATAAGACCTCCAATATATGTTGACTTTCTAGGCCACATGCCTTTGCTTGCAAGGCAAGTTTTCTATGGATGGACCACGTAGTTAGCTTGTTCTTTAAGCTTCCAACATGCGTGGCACATGGCTAACTTGTTGACCAAGTTTCTAACCTAAAAGTCAACTATAGACTCCTATAAAGTCAAAGCAGCGTCTATGAAGCTTCTAAGAAGCTTTTCTAGAAGATATTACACAATTAACCTACTTTTATCTACTTTTACATACTTTTATCTATTCATATAGGTAATTATATGTATGTCCGTGACATTACCCCCCCTTCTAGGGACGAGTTCCACGAGGAGCGGTGATTATATATTGAGAAAATCTAATATGCGGCGAATTATATTTGCTACATACTCTGATCTTTGTTCTCTTCGAAGATAGTTGATGGGTCCTCTTAGCCATCGATAGTGTCCCATTCCAGGGCGAGAAGACCACCCTGTTATTTGATCACTGTTGAGGCCTTCATAACTTCCTTTAAATAATACATTTGAAACACCATCAAGAGTCGTTCCTATCTCCAATAATATCACCAAACATCGAGAATCTCTTCCAAGGTCGTGATACCAAACGCGTTGTATCTCACCATCTATTCGAGGAAGAACATGTCGTTCTTGAGGGTATTCATCTCGGTTGCGTCATCTTGAAGGTTGTGACAATCGCAATGTCTCATCCGGTAAGTCAGCAAACGAAGGTTCTTGAGTTGAATCCGCTGGTTGTTGGCTCTCCATCTAATTAGCGTCACAAAATGCAAAGAAGTTACAAACAAGGATAGGAAATTGAATGTTATCTTGCCTCAATCTTGTCTCTTTTATAAGAGAGGTTTTCATCTTGGTTTTGATGGATGTCGTTGATGAAAAACTTTGACTTTAGCTAATGCATTTGCTAGATTCCTGGATGGCTCCCATGTGCGCTCACTAATATCATATCCGCACCAATGAACAAGATATTCCAGCTTATTTCGGCGCCGCCTTGAGTCTAATATCTCTTCCACCTCAAATTCTTCATTATTATCTACTTCTATAGGAGGCGGTGGCATTTGTCTTCTTCCTTGTATATCCACTGTCTTATATGGTTCAAGAAGAGACACGTGGAATACAGGATGGATCTTCATTGACTCCGGTAGATGTAACCGATATGCAACTGGGTTGATCTGTTCAGAAACAGAAAAGGGGCCAAGCCTACGATAGTCCAACTTGTCACAAGGTCGAGTAGTCTTGATATTGCGACGAAGTAGCCATACCTTATCACCGACGTTGATCTGTGGTTGCTCCTTACGATATAGATCTGCGTTTATCTTTTGTCGTTCTTGAGCTTTCTTCAACTGCGCCTTCATTATTGCATGTAACTCTGACAACCGATTTGCCATATCTTCTGCTGCAGGATTATCAACTTTTGAAAAATCAAAAGTATCAAGTCGTGGATGATAGCCATAATTGGCAAAGAAAGGTGTTTGTTGCGTGGAGGAATGTACCATATTATTATAAGCAAACTCTGCCAATGGCAGAAGGTTTGTCCAATCATCTTGTTGGTAGTTGATGGTACACCTTAAATACTGTTCCAAGACTTGGTTTACGCGCTCTGTTTGTCCATCAGTTTGAGGATGGAAAGCTGAAGATAGCTTTATGTCCACTTTTAAAATCTTGAAAAGAGTCCTCCAGAATCTCGACACAAATTGAGTTCCCCTATCCGATATGATATCTTTAGGTAATCCATGATAGCGATAGATATTACCAATGAAAAGCTTAGCTGTTTCTTCACCTGTGATAGATTTTGTACATGGCATAAAATGTGCCATCTTGGTGAAACGATCTACTATCACAAATATAGAATCATAAGATCTTGAGTTTGGAAGATCTGTGATGAAATCCATAGAAACAGAAGACCATGGTTGTTCTGGTATAGGTAATGGCTGAAGAAGTCCGTAAGGTCGATGTCGAGGAATTTTTGATCTTGAACAAATATCACATGATTGTACAAAGTCTTTGACTGACTTCCACATTTGTGGCCACCAAAAATCTCTTGATATGAGTTCCAGAGTCTTATTATATCCAAAGTGCCCTGCTGCTGGAAAGTCATGACGTGCTTGAAGAACACGCAAACGTGCTTTTCCTTCTGGAACATATAGGCGTCCTTCAAAATATAATAGATTATTCTTGAACTCGAACTTAGAAGAATCATGAGACTTGGAAGAATTATTCTCGATATCATGAACAAGAGGGTCTGAGGACATACTGGACTGGATTTGCTTGAGAAAAGTTGAATCAACAGTCAATGTTGATTTCACTGCTCGGAGATGAAATTGCTCCGGTTTCAAGAGGACCGTTCTTTGTTGCTCAAAAGCTGCATCTCCTTCTTTTGGTGCAAAATAAGAACGTCTAGACAGGGCATCGGACAAACCTTGTTGTTTTCCTGGCCGATAAGTGATAATGAAGTCGAATCTTGACAAAGACATACTCCAACGAGCTTGACGACGATTCAACACGCGTGCTGACATGAAATACTCGAGGTTCTTGTGATCTGTATATACAGTGACTGGACTAGAAGCACCTTCTAGATAATGACGCCATTCTTAAAAGGAATCCACGATTGCAAGAAGTTCTTTATCGTGGATCTCATAATTGATCTCGGCTGCTGAGAATTTTCTTGAATGAAAAGCTATCGGATGAAGTTTGTCATCTGTTCCCATTTGTGATAAAACTGCACCCAAGGCAAAATCCGATGCGTCTGTTTCCATAAAAAATGCCTTGGAAAAATCAACACGATATAAGACTGGTGCAGAGACAAACGATGTCTTCAAGGCTTCAAATGCTGCTTCCGCTTCTTGATTCCATTGGAATTTATCTCTACTAGTCAAGCGTGTAAGTGGAGCTGCAACTCGTGAGAAGTCTTTGATGAAGATCCGATAGTAATTGGCAAATCCCAAGAAACATTGGACATCTCTCATAGTCTTTGGAATCTTCCAATCCATGATTGTTTGGACTTTCTTAGAATCCATCATGAGACCATCATTTGAAATGATGTATCCTAAAAAGTCAACTTGAGTAGTGTGAAATACACACTTTTCCATCTTGGCATACAATCCTGCATCTCTGAGTTTTTGTAATACTTGACGAACATGTATTTCATGTTCTTCAACATTCTTAGAATAAATCAGGATATCGTCTAGGTAGCAGACGACAAAATTGTCTAAGAATTCATGAAATACATCATTCATGAGATGTTGAAAAGCAGCTGGTGCATTCGTGAGTCCAAAAGGCATGACATTATA